AAGACCCATTGAAGAGCGAGAAATGGAGGCAAACCATGGACCTAGAAATAGAAGCAATAAGCAGAAATGACACATGGGAATTGATGAAGTTACCTGATGGCAGAAATAAGGTTGGAGTAAAATGGAAAGAGGACTATTGGGAGTCTGTTAAGTTTAAGGGAGGAATTGTTAGGTTTGATTTAGATTTGATTTAGTTATTTGAATTAGATTTAATTTAGGTTTCTTTGTTTTCCGTGTATTCTGTAACGCTATATAATAGCCAATTTCATTCTTCATGAGATTTCTCCCAATTCTTTTTTATCTTTCCAGTTTTCTCTATGTTCTTTGTTGAGGATTGTTGGGAGTGAGTCCCACATTGGCTAATTTAGGGAATGATCATTGGTTTATAAGCAAAGGAATACAACCTCATTGGTATGAGGCCTTTTGGGAAGCTCAAAACAAAGTCACGAGAGCTTATGCTCAAAGTAGACAATATCATACCATTGTGGAGAGTCGTAATTCCTAACATGGTATTAGAGGAACTTGGCCATGAAAATAGAATCCCCAAATAACGAACAAAGAATTGTGAACCTCGAAGGTGTAGTAGTCAAGGTCATGAGAGCTTATGCTCAAAGTAGACAATATCATACTATTGTGGAGAGTCGTGATTCCTAACATGGTATTAGAGCTATGCCCTAAACTTGGCCATGAGAGCTTTGAAGGTGTAGTAGTCAAAAGTGTCGATTTCGGGCTTTTTTAAAACGCGTATGCTAAGAAGAGATTTCCACACCCTTATAAAGGGTGTTTCATTCTCCTCCCCAACCGATGTGGGATCTCATAGCTTGAGAGCTTATGCTCAAAGTAGACAATATCATATCATTGTGGAGAGTCGTGATTTCTAACATGGTATCATAGTCATACCCTTAACTTAGCCATGTTAATAAAATCCTCCAGTGTCGAACGCTTGCAATCGAAGAGTGACTCAAGCTTGAACAAACACTAGCATGCTCGGTAACCTCTCTAAGGCTTTTGGAAGGTAAGCTCATGGACAGTAAACTCGCTACTCAACTTGTTTAAGATCAACTCTGAAATGGGTAACTTTCTTCTTACCAGTACATGGCATCATCCTGACGCAATATCTACCACTCAAAAGTGTGCATAGATATGAAAATATTATTACTCAACGAAAGAATACAGATTTAAGAATGAGAAAAAGAATTGGGATCGAATGCTCTTGTCTTCATTGATATTCACGACCTTTAAATAAGATACAAGATACTAAATAATATCTACCAAGAAAATATAAACTAACTAAATACTGATAATAAAATAAAATATACTACTATTCAAATTCAACTGATTACGATATCTAAGATATATTTCCTAACTAATATATTCGGGAAGATTACGAATATCATATATTCCATAACTAATTCAAACTAAAATAAGTTGCACTAAATTGTGACAGCCTCCCTGAGTGCAAGCTTATTTCTCAATAACTCCGAGAGCTTCTACGAAAAACTTCAAACTTCACTTTGGCAAGTGCCTTAGTAAATATGTCTGCAACTTGTTCAATGATTTCCTTCTTAATAAGTTCCACATCGCAGCGATTCAATTCTAATGAGAAAGAGTAATAATTCATCTCAACTTGTGCAGACTCAGCATACTCCATACACCGGTGAATTACATCACTGGTAGACTGCAAAAACTCTTGATCTGCAGAAGCTTTATATCCTTGATCAAGGTCCAAGTCATCCTTACTATGATCATCAAGGGCATGCTTGAGCTTTTGAGCAAGGGACTCATCTTCTTCAGCTATCCAACCATCATGCTCATCACAAGCACTGTCACCGTTGTCACTAGATGCATAGTCCTGAGTTCGTGGCTTATCAACATCATCCTCCACATGGTCAACATCATCCTCCACATGGTCAACATCTGCATCCTCAAAAATGTCATCGCCAAAAGATTTATTATTAATAATATTCTGGCTTCCTGTCGCCTTCTCAGAATCCTTAGCCACACTAAACTTATTATCCATTGAACCATCCTCCCCTTCTTCACATAAATTTACCTGAACTACGAAATCCTCCTCCAAGTCCTCAACATCAGAACCAAATCGTGATAAATCATCATCATCAAGCAGTGCAGCTATTTCTGGGTCAGACTGGGGCGGAGCATCAGTAGCCGAATCCTGCAAATTGGTAGTTTGATCTAAATTCTCCAAGATGAGAAAATCGTTAGCCTCAGAGGGGAGGTAAAGACCGTCAAGATCGTCAAACGTTAGCTCGACAACTTCATTTTCGTCGAATCTCAAATCCAAGGCCGTGGAGTAAACAGAAGGGTCATCAGGGGCAATAGAATTGAAATCGGAGAAAAGAGAGAGTCCAGATGCGAAATTTGGAGAGAATCAAACTCAGAAGCGTAAGTAGTGGAATTAGAATTTTGATCACCTGTAGAAACATCATCTTGATATACGGCTGAAGTCACGTTTGTTGGCTGGTCAAGAACCTCAGTGGTTAAGCAATATTCCCAAATTGGATCTGGAGAACTTTTATTTTCATGTACCGCATTTGCTTCTGATTCCTGCATCTTGACTCGACAATTTGGTTTAATATGGCCTGGCTTTCCGCAATGATCACACACCACTTTCGCCTGACAATCTCGTTTAAAGTGGCCTGATTTTCCACACCTGTAACAAGCTTTAAATGGCTTCTTTGACGACTCGTCACTTCTGAATTGATTCTCATTGCTAGATGAAGGCCTTGAGTGAAAATTCTGTCTCCTTTGATCTTTGACATACAACACACCTTCTAACTTTGGGGAAAACTCGTTGCTGGTAGTCATTTGCTCAATCAAGGCTTCCTGATTGGAAAGAAGATTCTCCAATTCAATTACCGTAGGTTGATTTGCCCACCCTTGTATTGAGGAAACAAAGGGCATAAACTCTTTTCGTAATCCACGAATAAGATAACGCCGTAATCGAGCCTCACTCACTGGCTCCTCAGCATCTTATTCTGAAATTTCAGAACACAGATTTTTCACTTTCAAAAAATATTCTTCAACAGAAAAATTACCTTGAGTTACCATAGCTAGTTCATTCTCTAGAAATTGAAGTCGAGCGGTATTTTTCTTAGTGAACAACTTTTGAAGTGTATCCCATACTTGCTTTGGTGATTTTAAATCACGAACATGATCAATATACTCCTTGCTAATCAAAGTTTGCAAGGTAAATAAGGCTTTTCCGCACTTGATCTTCCATTATTGACGTAATTTTGCATTTTGTGGAGTATCGGCTGGAATTTCTGTGTCATCACCTTCAATTAAATCCCATAAATCTTGCCCTTGTAGATAAGCTTCCATGCATAACTTCCAATAACTATAGTTATTGCCAACCAGCTTTTCCATAGCTACACCCATAGAAGCACTCCCACTATTCATCTCGTTGAGTATAATATTAAACCGTACCAACTTGGCTCTGATACCAACTGACGCAATATCTACCACTCAAAAGTGTGCATAGATATGAAAATATTATTACTCAACGAAAGAATACAGATTTAAGAATGAGAAAAAGAATTGGGATCGAATGCTCTTGTCTTCATTGATATTCACGACCTTTAAATAAGATACAAGATACTAAATAATATCTACCAAGAAAATATAAACTAACTAAATACTGATAATAAAATAAAATATACTACTATTCAAATTCAACTGATTACGATATCTAAGATATATTTCCTAACTAATATATTCGGGAAGATTACGAATATCATATATTCCATAACTAATTCAAACTAAAATAAGTTGCACTAAATTGTGACAGCCTCCCTGAGTGCAAGCTTATTTCTCAATAACTCCGAGAGCTTCTACGAAAAACTTCAAACTTCACTTTGGCAAGTGCCTTAGTAAATATGTCTGCAACTTGTTCAATGATTTCCTTCTTAATAAGTTCCACATCGCAGCGATTCAATTCTAATGAGAAAGAGTAATAATTCATCTCAACTTGTGCAGACTCAGCATACTCCATACACCGGTGAATTACATCACTGGTAGACTGCAAAAACTCTTGATCTGCAGAAGCTTTATATCCTTGATCAAGGTCCAAGTCATCCTTACTATGATCATCAAGGGCATGCTTGAGCTTTTGAGCAAGGGACTCATCTTCTTCAGCTATCCAACCATCATGCTCATCACAAGCACTGTCACCGTTGTCACTAGATGCATAGTCCTGA